GAGTTTCTTAAATATCACTGATGGTTGTTAGCTCAAGTTTTCCACTTTCTGAGATGATTTTATTAAAAGGGTTAAATGCTCTATGAGGAGCTATTGTTTTACTACTGTAACTGGCTATTTTTAGTTTCAAGTTTCTTTCTTTATAAATGATTTTTATCAAAATGAGTTGAGCCTGCTATGAGTAGCGGGTGCTTCCTTATAAGAAATGTCTTTTCATTTTGTAAAACAACTAGTGAACTCTTAATCAATTCAACAACCTACTCTTTGGCTTTCACTTGCTGAAGTTGGCTTTAAAAGCGTCCTTTAACTTCTCAAATATTATGGGGGTAAACTATTTCATACCAAATTGTTAGTTTCCTAACATTTAGTTACCTGTTTTAATTAAAGACTTAACTGGTTACTATATTCTTTGTTTGAACAAATCTCAGAAGCATATAACTGTTTCATTTGTAATCCATTCACTAAATAATCCTCTCTATCCATTTCTTTTGACTCTTAATTATGAGTTCTTTTCAGCAAGTAGTTATTGACATTTTCACTAAGTTTTGAAATTACTTTTGTGGCAATGATCTACCTCTTTGCCACTGTAAATGTTACTTTCTTGTTTGACCAAACTCTTGTTGACTGTCTTGATACCGTGGTTTATCGTTTACTGTCCTGATCGTTATACCCGTGCACGTGGTCTCTTCTTAGTTCTTCCCCGAGTTTCTGGAACCTGAACCAGCCTATGTGCTTTCCGGAACTAGCTCCGCTCGGTGGTTGAATCTCTGGTGATTTACCTCGAGTTTACGGAACCTGAATCGGCCTATGAGCTATTCCGTAACTAGAATCACTCGACGGCTAAATTCCATTATCGTTATCGTTACTGAATGATCATATTACGTGTACATGTACTGTTTCTTGAGATATGGTCACACACTTTTTACTTCCTGGTTTAAACGTTATCTAGTGATTTGTTTCTGTTTTGGGCAATTCTCAGCCCACTTGAATAATTTGATCACTTTATTTACTGTTGGAACTTGTTCACATACCTTCGAGCTTTTTGATTGGTTTTGCTAAAATATTCACTTAAACTTGAGGACACTCACGGGCTATAAAACATATAGCTCACCCGTATTATTTTTATTATTATTTTACAGGAATAGGATCCTGGAAGTATGTGACAACCTTGTTGTGGATTTAGTTGGACCTCGAGCTGCAATGGTTTTAGTTTAGGGTTTTAGTTTGATTTGATTCGGTTTAATATTTGTAATAATTTAGTAACTCCTTGCTGTAAAACTATGAAAGTGAATATATTAAGTTTGGAGTTTTGTATTATGGATTTAGTGATTACTGCTTGAGTCCTGGCGCGAGCTAGGCAGACGGTTCAATCCGACCCTCGTCGTTATGATTTTAGTAGGTGTCGGATTGGGTCGTCACTGGTGGCATCAGAGCCTAGGAATAGAGCCTTTTCATGTCTTTGGGAATAGAGTCGGGTTTAAGATTTCAACCTGCAGGGCTTGCATATGAAATATTTAGAAATAAAGCTTAAGATACTTAAGTGTTAGAGCTTAAGGTACTAACTGTTGGGAGTGAAACCTAGGATGTACGTTCCCCTTATAGGAGTTGCCCGTTAATGAATTTATCTAAGTTGTAGGATGATTCCTTTTGGATAAATGCTTAGGATGCATGATCAGATCACAGTAGGGATTAAACTACGTTATATTTTGGGCTTTTGGGTAAAAGTTTGGTTTTGAGGCCCTTATTTGTGTAAACTGGTCACAATGTTGTTTTGTTTAAATCTCTACATAGATCACCCTCTTGTGTGTCTTAGTTTATGTCATAGTTTATAGATGGCTAAATGGTCTTGTGGTGGTCTCTGAAAATGGCTTTAGCTTAATACATTAAATCTGATTTTTCTGGGGAAAAAATCCCGGACTAACACCCATTGTTTTGAACAGTCGTTTAGCATGTTTTAAAAAGCTGATGAGTTGATTTCTCTTCATGAACCTTTTCTTTGTTTAATAAGATTTATGGCAGTCCTTATTCCTTATGAAATGGATTAATGGTTTATTCAAAGTCTTTTTTCAAAGGTGGTCTACATCTTGATTTTTCTGCAAAATTCGGGGTTGATACCCACTACTTTGAGCATTTTGTTAAGTATGATTATTAAGCCTGTTAAGCTGATTATCTTTTTTCACGAACCTGTTCTTTGTTTGTTAAGGTTTATGTCAGTCTTTACGGTTTCTAAAACGGGTTCTTGGTTAGCTCAAAAATCATTCTTTAAGGATAGCTATGATTCCGAAATTTCTGTAACACTTAAAATTTTCTGATTAACCGGTTGAGTTTCAACTTTTTGAACTTAAATGCCTTGAGACCCTTCTTGGTGGTTCCTTCTCCAAGATCCTTGCATCCTTGCTAAAGTTTTGACAGTCCTTGCTGTAGGAAAGTGACCTGTGATTGCACTAAACTGAAAATTGAATATAAGGTCTATAGCATGTGATTTTCCTGGAACTTGAGAACTAAAGATATGAGCTGCTGATTTTAGTCCATCATTTGAGAACTTTTTAATTAATTTCAGTGCTAATCTTCTTCCGTGGCTGCATACTTGCATATGGTCAGTATCAAACCCTGTGGATTTCTAAACTTACCTAGAGTTAATACAAAATAGTGTTCAAAGCGACCTTCCTATTGAAGGTTTTCTAAAAATGCAGAGTTGTTTCTGGTTTTGCGATTGTAATTAGCTGGCTGTAGTCTATCATCCTATAGCCTTCACTAATGTTTTGTTTTATGGAAACCCTTAAATACTTGTGGAAGTTTTATGTTAGCCTTATGGCGGAAAGAAATGGACTCTTGATTACTATTAAACTGAAAATTGAAAAAGGATCCGTTACATGAGATTTCCTGAAACTTTCTTAACACATGAGCTGCCGATTTTGGTCGACAAGTTCATCATCATTTGGAAAACTCTTCAATCGTTTTCAGCTACAGAATTCTTCCAGTGTTAAATAGGGTAGTTGTCAGATCCTACAATTTTCTAACAGACTTATGGTTAGTTCAGAAAAATAGTGTTAAAATGACCCCGCTGTCAGAAGTTCCTGAAAAAATTCAGAGCTACTGGTTTGGAGGACTGTATTTGGTGTACTGTGTTTTGATATTTTGAAGCCTTACAAATGTTCTCTTTTTCTGAAATTCTTTTTCTGAAGTTTGTGTCAATATTTTCATGTTGTGAGATGGACCTCAAGTTACTTGGTGGGGAAAAAAAAAAAACTTGTTTGAAAATGAGTCCTGTTGTCATAAGTTTCTGAATTTTTGTTTTACTGAAAAACCGTAGATCAACGTAGCCAAGGTTAAGGTTGATCTCATGAGCAGTTAAAATATAAGAACGTGTGAAGATTAAGGCTGTTCAGAGTTGGTCAAGACTTTGATTTGTTGGAATGCTAAGCCGAGGTCCGTAGGCTTTTAACATTATAGATGTGTGAAGTTCTTAGTATATGATCATTCACTTTAGCTTCGAACTTGCATAGTACTTAGCCAGGATCATTAGCTTATAATCAATGTAGTGGTATACAACACCCAAAACATGATTTTTTTTTAAAAAAAATTGCAGATAAGATAATAAAAATAACAAACTGGAAGCTTGAAAAGAAGAGCATATGAAAACTTTAGTGGAATGTATTTTAGGTTCTGTAAGCTTAAGATATCATAAGCAATCAATTCATCAGCCATAAAAAAAAAAAATAAAATAAAATAAAATAAAATAAAATCTTAAGCCATTATAAACAACATCAATAATTAGAATCATGGGAAAGCCGGAACATTCTTCAAAACTTTTACATAAAAGCTGTAGCGTTAATAACCATAATGCTATTGTTGGGTTACAGAGATGGAACCATTTGGTGCTCAACTTACCACTATCGAACATCTAGCTCAAAGGGCGATTGAGATTAAAGATCAACCAGAGAGAGACGATGTAGCGTTCTTGTGATTTCAACAGTTTAAGCCCCCTAAATTTCAGGGTGAACCTGATGCAGAGAAGGCTGAAATTTGGCTCGAAACAATTAGCTGCACCCTTAGAGTTTTGAATTATACCGAAGAGCGTAAGGTTAACTTTGCTCAGGAATGGTGGGCCATTATTGAAAATAAATGGAAACAGAACCAAACCCCCTACACCTGGGAAAATTTCACCGAAGAATTTAAAAATAAATATGTTCCACTGTTAGTCAGAGAGAAGAGGCGACAAGAATTTATTTATTTAAAACAAGCAAAGATGACAGTAGCTCATTATGAAGCTCTATTTACTAAACTGTCAAAATTTGCGCCAAAGATAGTTGAGACTGATGTCGAGCGGAAAGAAAGGTTTATTCAAGGACTCAAAATTGAGATTCGATATGCTTTGGCAGCCACTAAGCTTGATTCTTATGCTGATGTCGTAGAGACAGCACAACAGGTGGAAAGTACTTGGGTTGAATTAGAAGAAACTCAAAACCAGCAACATAAAATGCTCACTTTGGGAACTCCTATAGCATTGAGGAACATCTTTTTGTCTTGTTTTGCATACCCAGCTCCTATGCAACCATACGTTTTGTTGTAACTCCATTGTGGTTCTGGTAAATCTTTTATGCTACATGTTTTTATATGGCATTGTGAATTTGTGATTGCTGGTCCAGCGCCAAAACTGTTAAATTTGTGCTTTTGGAATATTGGACTGTGTGAGCTATGGCATGTAGTGGGCTTTTCATTCACTTTTACTTGGTTGACAATTATCTTTTTGGTCTAATAAGTTATCCTTGTTGCAGATTTCTGTGGTCCAGAGTGAACGTGCATCGGACTAAGCCTGGTAGCCGGAATCAAATAGTGTGAAATGAAGTGGTGCATGGGCAGGGGTGGTTTATAAGTATTCGCGGCTGCTGCGCTACTAAAGCTGGTTTGTATGTTAGGTTAAAAAGAAAGGTGTAGATTCCTTGCCAAATAAGAACTTACGGAGACCCTGATTGAAAAATCACCTGGAAATTGTTTTGATGAAACTCCTAAAAGGACTGCTGTTTAAAGATGGCAGACTCTTTAGCCGATGTCAAGGTCTTTCCACAGTTCGATGGTCACTTGTCGAACAGTATTCCTTCTCAGCTGCTTATCACTCTTTGCTGCCCTGTGATCATCGGAATCTTGTTTCTGCTGCAGTTGGGATCCTAAAACACCAGCGTTCTAAATCCCGATGGTCTTACCTCCATTCTCTTTTTACTTCAACACATGAAGGCCTGACCCCATCTCACTTTTCACAAATTGCCCTCCAAATCCGAAACAATCCTCATCTCGTGCTCAATTTCTTCCAATTCACTTCTAACCAATCTCTATGTGTTCACTCCCTTTCATCCTATGCTACTGTGATTCACATTCTCTCTCGCTCCCGCCACAAAACAAAAGCCCAAGAATTGATCCATTCTGCTATTAGGCGATTTCCAGGGTCCAATATAGCAAGTCCACCTCCAATATTCGAAACATTGATGAGAACTTATAGAACTTGTGATTCGGCACCATTTGTATTTGATTTGTTAGTGAAAGCTTGTGTAGAATCCAAAAGAGCTGATCAGGCTGTTGAAATTGTTAGAATGTTGAGGTCGAAAAGTGTGTACCCTGATATAAGGACTTTAAATTCTCTGATCGAGCTGGTCACAAACATTCAGGGCTGTTTTGCTGGTTATGATTTTTACAAGGAAATCTTTGGGCGCATTGATGTGGAAAACTGGGCCACAAGTAGTAATAACGGGATAAAAATTAAGAGGCCCAAGCTAAATACGTTTAACATTATGATGGTTGCTTTTCTGAGAGATGGCTTGGCCACAAAAGTGGAGGATGTATGGAAAGAAATGGTTAGGGTGAAATGTGCACCGAATATCTACAGTTATAGCATTCTGATTGAGGCATATTGCTCAGACGGGAAGATGGATGATGCTGTTAGGGTGTGGGATGCAATGAGGCTTGATGGTTTTCAGCATGACATTGTCGCTTATAATACCATGATTGGTGGTTTTTCAAGGTTCGGGGATGTTAAGAAAGCCGAAGAGCTCTTCAGAGAAATGTTTGTGAATGGCGTGGAAAGTACAAGTGTTACTTTCAAGCATCTCATAATGGGATACTGCAAGTTGGGAGATGTCGATTCAGTGATCCTTTTATACAGAGATATGTCTAGAAATGGTTTTGCCATGGAGAGTACAACCCTTGATGCGATGATTAAGGTAATCTGTGATGATCAAAAGGTCTCGGAGGCCTTTGAGATATATAAACAGGTGATAAAGAAACATAATCATGTGTTTCCAAAGAAGGAGAGTTTTGAGTGTCTGATAAAGGGTTTGTGCCGAGAAGGGAGAATGGAGGAAGCATTAACACTTCAGGCTGAGATGACTTGCACAGGTTATGAACCAGATGGAGAAATGTATGATGCTTTTATTGATGGATATGTTGAACATGGAAATGAAGAGATGGCTCGAAGGCTCAGAGAGGAGATGATAAGACTTTCAACCCCTACTGAGAATAGTCTCAAATCAGGACCAAACGCATAAAGCTTGATAAGTCTGTTTTCTTATTTTCTGTTTCATAGTTTTGGTCATTTTATTCGCTCTACTTTTTATTTCTTTTCTTGCTTTTTCTTTAACCTTTTCCCCTGCGATAATCTTCAACGCAGTAATTAATCTGATGATTCTCGACAGCAGACAACGTATTATATTTTTCTATTAAAAAAAAAAGAAAACAAAGAAAAGGGGGAAAATCTCTTTCCTAAATAATGTTCGACCTATTGAAGGGCTGGAATTTGCTTAAATAAAGAATTTCATCATGTTCATGTATATTGGAATCTTTGATGCATTCTAGTCCTGTCCTAAGCATAAAGAGGAAGACATTATTGACCCATCAATATAAGAAAAATTAGTCCTCACACCCCCAACCTGTAATTTGCAGCTCTAAAATTGCCCTGCAGAACTGTGCTCTGTAGATGGTTAGGGATACCAAAGTGACGAGTCACGTCGCTAGAGTATAATGCTAATCATAAAGAAAGATTTCAACTGGTAACAGAGAAGATTATTAGCAAAACGTACTACAAATTTCACACCTTAATTGATGGCACTACAGATCTTAATAGTAATGATGGCAGATGCAGCTGTTTTGCTGGAATGTTTTGGATGATTAGAGATACTGAATGAGAAGACTTTCAAATTTTACTATGTAAAAACATCAAACACTCCACCTAATCTAATATTGTCCTAACTCCAAATCAAAAGTTAGCACTTGGAACAGGTCAATCTCCATATCTTACGACAAGGCCCCTAGTTTCTGAACTCCTTGAATCACACATCTAATTCTTCGAACTTTTCAACCTCATGATCACCCTGCATAGCTGCTGCAGTTGAGCCGAGGTAAAGCGATATAATGTAACACCACCACATAAGACGAAAACAAGGGAGGGAACATAATTGTACCCATTCGCAAGACAAATTAAAACTTGCACAACCACTACGTAGAGTACGTCGAACAAGGTCAGATCGTGTTAGAATTCTACTTCAAGAATAATAGACAACAATGACTGCACTAGATCAAAGAACAAGAGCAAGAATTTATGGTTAGGACCAAAGAAAGTTTTGTCTTCAAGTCACAAATAAACTTGCTTTCCTTTAGACTAAATTCGCCCACTATACAATGCAATTATATAGCCGAATTCCCTATGAGATAGAATGGAGATCATGTTGTTTCACTATACATTTTTGTGAACCAACAACCTGATACAAGGATAAGAAATGTCATTGGAAATATTTCAATTATTTGGTGATCTCATTGTACACTACAAACATCCAAATGATCCATATCTATAGAGTTAGAGAAAACTCTTGAGAATTAGACGTAACCCTTGGTTTCGGCCCTAGACATAACTTTTCGGTAATGTCTTTTCATATAGAGTCTATAGGCACAACCTATTAGTTGCGTCTCTACAATATATTGAAAATACCTAATAGGCACAACATATTAATTGTATCCCTACAATATATTGAAAATAACTCCAACAATCCCCCGCCATTTTCAATATATTGAAAATGATTTTTAAATGGATCCAAAATAATTTCAGCAAAACTTATGCATAAAATAATGATGTCGTTAGACTTGAACCACTACCTTAGTGTCGGTTTATAACTTGTAATACAACCCGGTAGACTAGCTTTGAACCGTACGTACATTTTACAAGCCACTATTGTAAACCCCAAGGCACCTATCAGGCTCCCCAAGGCACCTATTGGGAGCTCTATGACGGAAAGCACTAATCCATGCCACCGCAACGAACTGTCTGAATAAGATCTCCAATGATATAGATAGTTTCCACAGGGTCACCAACGTCGAGATGTTCCCTTAGCAATGATGTGGTACAAAAGCATCGCAGAGTTTGTAACCCAAGCAATTCCAATGCCAATGGGCTGAAAGCACCTACAAAACATCGGATTAATTTCAGCAGATTAAATGAAGGTGTCTCACTTCTTAAATGCACTGGAGGTCAGTCTCAAGGAATCCTTCTATGAGTGGCCCTAATGAAGCACATGAACTGTTAATTTAGACCCCTGAATCTCAAGCTCTAATGCACAAATTAAAGTTAAATATCGATAATCCTTTAGAGTTCCAGATTACATCTCCACCCGTGAGGCCACGCCAGATTTCTGTTACTTGTAGTTGAGGGGGACTCAAACATGGTGAAGCCAATAGAAGTCAACGCCCGATTTGGGTTTTGGCCAATGATTCCTGCTTCTTCAAAATTCTCGGCCCTTCTTTTTTTTTTTTTTTCTTTTTCAGCAACAATTGTACCAAGTAGTGATATTTGTTTTAAGTAGTATTATTATTACTTTTGTGGTTTGTTTTACATCAGATTGCTCCGATCATGTGATGCATCATATTCCTGCCTTTCTCTCTACGTTGAAGAGGAAAGAAACTACTCTTAGATTTGAAAAATAATGTCCGAACAGAATAACAACAAATGGAGTAATAATTTTGTTATTGTTACATGTACTTAGGTTGGTGAATTATGGAGTTTCTCGAAGAAAAAAAAAGGTTGGGGAATTATGGAGCCAAACAAAAGGATGGATGATGGATTGATTGAATTCCAACTTGAATTTCCAACCCCAAAAAAAGTAGTATATTTCATCAGGAAAATATGCATTGGTAAGAATTTACTTCCGCCGGACTGTTACGCCCATGCACCAAAAGCTCGCTAAAGCGAGTGAAGAAATGGGTCTTCATACGCTTAGGACGATCTACAATTCATCCAAGGTCAAAACTTTTGGCTGGTTCATGGCACATTTGATCAATGGGAAATCTTTGAGTCAGAGTCAGAGCCCGGGTCAGGTTGTTCTGAGGCTATCAAAATCATTCTTCTTCCAAGCGCCACTTTTCAACCCTATTTTCGAGGTCAATACCAAATCAGACAGAATACCACATCACATTAGCTGATCTTCAAGGCATTTATATTTTTATTTTTCTTTCAATCCTTCTTAGGGTTGATTCTTGGTTTTTTGCGTAGTGTCGATTAATTTCAACATTCATGTATATGTTATTGTTGTCAAAAGCTCTCCATAAATTTTTCTCTTTCAAGGTAAAGCTCTTTATAAATTATTAAACAAGTTTTCAATAAAAAAATGATATGTGACTTTGTTTTTAATTAGTTTGGTCGATCACTTATATATAAGTTGATGTTGAGCACGTCCTCAGTCATGCAATTCAGAGTCATCATAAACAGAATGCTACTATATTTAACCATTAAAGACTTATCACATTTGATTATCAACTTTGTAATATCATCAATCCTGCTTACTGAAATTAGTTTGTAACAAATTACAAATACCATGTCATAGTTTTAAATAAGAGCATGAGCCACAAAGTTCAATGGAGACTATATATATATTAGAAAAGAGTATATGTATTCAGAAATTTCAGAAGCCACAATTATTAATCCATTGATATACTAATGATTTTGGCCATGTTAAATTCTTTACAGACATGCACACAAAGAGTAAATGACAAAGAAATAAATCATATATATATATATATATATATAGATTTTAGAAAAGAGTATACGTATTCAGAAATTTCAGAAGCCACAATTATTAATCCATTGATATACTAATGATTTTGGCCATGTTAAATTCTTTACAGACATGCACACAGAGAGTAAATGACAAAGAAATAAATTAGATAGATAAACTGACGTCCATTTCTAGAGTATCATAAAAGCAAAAAGGTTACTCTAAGATGGTTGTTGAACTGGTTTATCATTTCCAATCTTGGTTTAACTGTATGTGACATGACAATATAATCTTTTTTAAAACTGGATTTATCATTTCCCAATTTGGCCGGTTCAACCCATCCCAATTTTGTATTCACCAAGTTGGATTCTTTTTTATTTTTCTTTATTTGCCTTTTATAATTTTATTTTGCTGCATACATTCCACATTATGCTCCTAAATCATCATATTTTGTAATTGGAAATATGGTTTTTATTTTTTGTAAATTAATTATGACTTTGAAGAAGCTATTTTCATGTTAGTATTTGAGAACAACATTGAACACACAACTTTTCAAAGATGGAGATTGACATTGAGATATGAAACATTTAATGAAGGAAGCACCTCGGTTGCACTTGAACATTAGATCTTCTTTATAAAAATGCTTAGTGCTTATTGGGTAGGATATATATTTATTGATGAATTCCTTAATAGCTTGTATTTTAGATTCATCAACATGAATTCCTTTTGCACTAACAATGAAACCAAGAAACACAACTTCATTTACACAAAATGAACATTTAGGCATGTTAGCATAAAGTTTCTCTTCTCTCAATGTTTGCAACACAATTCTCACATGTTCAACATGTTCTTGTAAATTTTTAGAATACACTAAGATATCATCAAAATATACAACAACAAACTTACCAATATAATGCCTCAAAACATGATTCATTAATCTCATGAAAGTACTAGGAGCATTAGTTAACCCAAAAGGCATCACTAACCACTCATACAAACCAAATTTTGTTTTGAAAGCAGTTTTCCATTCATCTCCTTGTCTAACTCTTATTTGATGGCAGCCAGATTTTAAATCCACTTTAGAAAAGATAGTAGCACCATAAAGATCTTCAAGCATATCATCTAATCTAGGGATTGGATGTCTATACTTAATAGTTATCTTATTAACAACACGACAATCTATGCACATACGCCACGTACCATCTTTCTTAGGCACAAGTAAAACAGGAACAACACAAGGGCTGAGAGATTCTCGAATTTGACCTTTAGCAAGGAGTTCTTCAACTTGCTTTTGTAGTTCCTTTGTTTCTTTAGGATTTGCTCTATATGCAGGTCTATTCGGAATGACTGCGCCAGGAATTAGATCAATTTGATGTTCTATTCCTCGTATAGGAGGAAGTTCATTAGGCAACTCCTCAGGGAATATATCCCCGTACTCTTGAAGTAGCCTTTGAAACACCTTAGGCAATTTACTAGGAACTTCGATTAGTAAAACAGAATTATCACAAAAAAGCATTAAAATCATACCTGTTCCTTTTGCAAAACACTTCTCCACCGATTTGGGACTAGTGAAGAAATTGTTGCCCACTGGCTCTCGAATTTGTAAATCATTTGAAGATCTCTTCGGAACGTCCAAAGTAGATTCATCTTTAGGACTCTGCTCTTTCACTCGTTTCTCTCTTTCTCGAATCATTCTCAGATTACATTCTTGAACTTGAGGAGGTGAAAGAGGTTTCAGGGTATAGCTATGACCATTCATCACAAACAAATACTTGTTTGTGTATCCATCATGCTTTACTCTTCGATCATACCCCCATGGTCGTCCTAAAAGTAGGTGGCTTGCCTCCATAGGTACCACATCACAAAGTACTTCATCCTCATATTTTCCAATAGAGAATGGCACATTCACTTGCCTAGTGACTCTAAGATTGCCACAATCATTCAACCATTGCAACCGATAGGGTGTCGGATGCTTGATAGTAGGTAACTTCAGATTATCTTCAAGATATGAACTAGCAACATTAGTACACGATCCTGGATCTATAATAGTTAAGCATACCTTGTCCATAACTCGACACTTAGTATGGAAAATATTGTGTCTCTGCTGATCATCTTCAGCTACTTGAGTTTGTAATGCTCGAAGGTTGCCAAACACTTGTCCAGCCTCAGCATCAATCTCTACAACTTCTTTTTCGACTTTCTCAACAAGTCTTGGCATCTCGTTATCTTCTTCATCTGTTTCACTTTCGAAACTTCCATCCTCTTTAAAGTTGGACAAGCAGAAGCTATATGTCCTCGTCTCTGACATTTGAAACAAGCAACATCTCTAGTTCTGACTTTGTTAGTATTACTAGATGAAGTAGAATTCTTAACATTAGAAGATGGTTTAGGAATATTAGAAGTATTAGAAGCGTTAGAACTACTTCCCTTCTCTAACTTTGACGAATTACCATACTTCTTTGAATCATCTTTCTTCCATGGTGTAGAAGACTTATGTGGATCTGACTTCTTCTTTGCCAATTGTCTCTCCACGATCCTATCTTTGTGTAACATCTCAGTTGGATCTAGGTAGTGTGAAAGCTCCACAACATCGGCAATGTTTTTGTTAAGTCCTCCTAGAAACCTTGCCATCATAGCTTCAGGCTCCTCTTTAATATTTGCACGTATCAATGCCAACTCTAACTCTTGATAGTACTCATCAACAGACTTGGTTCCCTGTGAAAGACTTTGAATTTGTTTACACAGATCTCGATAATAATAAGAGGGAACAAACCTTTTGCGCATGAGTCTTTTCATTTCATCCCATGTGGACACGGGATCCTCATCATAGAGCTTCCTATCCTTGACAACTTGGTCCCACCATTCTGAAGCATAGTTATTGAATTGGTAAACGGCCATTCTAATCTTCTTAGAATCATCATAATCTTGCAATGAAAAAGCACGCTCTACCTTCTTTTCCCATGTAAGATAGGCTTCAGGGTCATTAGTACCACTAAATTCAGGAATTTTAACTTTGAAATTACCAAGTTCATAAGGATCATTCCTATTGACAACACGATGAGCTCTATTACGATTTTCATTACCTTCATTACCTTGAGCACGACCATTACGAACCTCTAGTTCTAGATCTTGTATTCTACTACATAATTGAGTAGTAACATTATACAATCTAGCAAGAGTTTCTCGCATAGCATCTTGAGAATGGTCGTCTCTTTGTTCACTATCGTCTCCAGATGACATCCTTTAAGATCAAAGAACAAACGAATATATAGGATATTAGTAGAAAACGTTCCTACCTCACTTCCCCTAACCAATGATCTTTTACTTTTCCCCCCTTTTGGTAGTATCACACACAACTCACCTTTTGTATGCTTTCTTTGGGATTTATTTGGCTTTTTCCCCAATATCAAAGTGGAATAGAAAGAAAACACTCAAGCCTTTTATCACTCAAGACCTTTGGTAAAGTTCCAGATCGGCTTCAATGTTCAAGTAGTAGCAATATGCACCACAACAATTAATTAAACAATCCACTCGAATAAAACACTCAAAAGCAGACAAAGTCAATTAGCACGTAGAGTAAATTTAGGGAAATTCCAGAAAAGAACGAGGGAGAACACGAATCTCGTTCGAGTGTTTGGAGAAAAAAATAGGGATCTCGCTTTAGAAGTATAAGCAAACTCAAATGATATCTCAGACTCCAACTCAAACTCAAACTCTTATAGGATAAGGATAAGATTTTATGATAATCTTATCTTTTACAAGATAAGATAAGGATAAGTTTTAAAGAGAATCTTATCTTTACAAGATGAGATAAGGATAAGATTTTATCCAATAAGATAGGATAAGGATAAGGTTTTATCCAATAGAATAAGATTAGGATAAGATTTTATCTTTTACAAGATAAGATAAGGATAAGACTTAAAGAGAATCTTATCTTTTATAAGATGAGATAAGGATAAGGTTTTATCCAATAAGATAAGATTAGGATAAGATTTGAAGAGAATCTTATCTTTTGAGAGAATATAGGCAATTAAATAGCAAAGATAAACTCCCAATCAAACACAACTTTATCTAACCTTCTTAGATAGAGATAGACTTTGAATATACCTCTTCAAGAAGATTCTTTCCAACTTCACTTCCAACTCTTTTGAAATCTCCTAATGCAAGGCAACCTTTAATGTAGCCAATCAAAGAAGACTCTTTTTTTCTCTCTTTTTTTTTTTTCTCTGCCGTCCTCTTTTTTTTTTTTTTTTTTTTACGGCTTTCCTTTTTTTTTTATAGGGGCGGCCGAAACCCTAGACTCAAAAATTTTTTTTTTTTTGTACGGCCAAATTCAAACAAACACTTTCAACAAAAAAGCTCCTCCAACAATCACCAAAGTTTGCTATTGGATGATAACAAAACGAAAGGCACGAAACTAAAAGGAATTGTCCAAGTGGTGAACAACTCAAAAACAAAATATAGAGAATGCCCTCTTTTGGGAGAGGAAAATTCGAAGAGAGGAAGAAAACAAGAAGAACAAAAATCCGAATTTTGAGACCAATTATGGTATCCAAAGATGACTCTTGATATACCAATTATGGTTCTAAATATGCCAACTATG